GGGAGTCAACAGCTCTGCCCACTCACCTCTCTAGCTTCAACAACACAAAGTCTGCTTCGACTATCAAGGCACCCCGGAAATAACGGGTCACAAGAGAATGACAAACATACAAAAGGAGTAGAGGAAAATGACGATAGTCAGGATGAGGAAAAAAACAACAGCAGTTCCCCCTACGTTGTTCCGGCACAGTATGAGCATGACATTCATATATGCGTAAGAACATGTTAATATCCCCCCTTTAGGAATGGCTTAAAGACAACCACAGTCAAAAACACTGCCCTGGTGGGTGCTAAAAACTTTGAATTGTTAGAAATTGTTTCTTTTTCTGTGATATCGGTTGTGTGTGCTCAAGAAATATCTTGTCGAAATTCACATTCTAAATGTTGAAAAGAAACCAAGAAATGATATATATATATATTATTGTGTATGAACAACTGTTAAAAAGAAAGAAACATCTCTCTCTCTCTCTCTCTCTCTCTCTCTCTCTCTCTCTCTCTCTCTCTCTCTCTCTCTCTCTCTCTCTCTCTCTCTCATAAACTGTAACTTCCCTGGCCCAGAACAGTAGAAGAGCTCACCATCAACCTATCCTGACGTTCCCTCACACCCCGGGAATTATCTAACCTCTGACCATATCCCCCTTCCTCCCAAGCGGAACGGCCAATCAGACACTGGCACACGCGTCACGTGATTTAGACAGGAAAAAGAAAGAACACTCTGTCATTGCTCGCTTCACTGACCGGCATACGTTTCTTACCACAACCTTCTTTTCAATCTTTTTTTAAAATGTCAAAATAAACATACACAACATAACACCATTATGGTGAGCTCCTGAACTGTACACTCCGCATGGTGAACATACTGTGGCGTCTGTGGTGTAGCAGTCAGGCAATTCGCCATCGCACGCGCTAGGACAGCTGAGTTCAATTCCGAAGTAGAGGCAAATTAATATAATGGAGCATGTCGGTCTTTCTGCTAAGATACTGTATCTCTCTTAGCCCATGCTGGCCGCCACAGGCCAGGTCGGAAGCCCGCCTCCTATAAGACCTAATATACTGTACGGGTCGATGGGGACGTAAAAACACATATAATTATCAACAAAGCTCCAGTGTGTAATGTCTTTGAGCCAGCGATCAAAACTACGGGTCTAACACTCTCTGCCCCCCCCCCCAACCCCCAATAAAAAGACGCATCCCTCTCTTTTCCCTCTATCCCCCTCCATCTATCCTCCTCCTCCTCTACTCCCCCCTTCCCCACTCAGCAGACTCACCTCTACCCCCCCCCCTTTCCCGGAAGATACCACAAAACACACAATCCCTCCCCCGGGCAGGAAGCGAACTCGCACCCACTGCATCATGCACGACACAGAGTAAATAACCCATAGAGTTACCCTGGAACAACCACACAGAGTGAACAGGTCGGGGGCGTGCCGGTGGACTAATCCC